TTGGGGCCAGAATGAAAGTTATCTCTAGTTCATTATTGTCGTTCTTTGGAGAAAGAATCCTTCCCATGGCAGGGGTTACAAATACCCCTATAAAATTAAGCCCAGTGTTCTGTACATTTTTTTGTAAAGCATAGTCTACTGAAAATTTTCAATTACTATGGTACAACAGAAAATCATATTGCATGAACATTCAACAAATTATTGCATCTCTTATAGTACTTCTGTGATAATGATAAAGCTATTTGTTTTCCAACAACCTTCAAGCCATGCTTTCTCTATAACACTCTTATCAGAAGCCCGGAACACAGTTTGGGTTGATGTAATTTGACATGGTTCTGGTGAGATTCTGAGAATCTAATATGACAAATAGGCATGAACAGCACAAATCTTCCAGCTAACAAGTTTTGAAAAGAGCTAACTAAAGAAAAGAGATATCTTGGAAAAGAAATGATACATTAAGAAAAGTGGTAAATGTCCTAGTTCAGAAACATCTCTATTAAGTAATGCAAAAAAAAGTCTGATAATTTCAATTTCAAAAAAGCTAATGAGAGAATATGAATCCTCTTACTTGTGTTTATATTTTAAGTATCTGTTAATGAATATTCATATAAGAATTAGTTCCAGGTTAAAACAACAAGTTGATGACATACTAGCTATGTATGTATATAATCCCAGAATCTTACTACTGGTTTGGAGAGATCCCTATTACTGACAATAATACCAAATTTTCAAACTGCTGTTTTCTTTAAAATAGTGACATCAACATGATATAAACTGTTTTGTATAATAAAAAATTATTTGCCCATAAATGGAATTGCTATTACATACTTTGAAAGTAATCACTAAGAAGATCTCTTTAGGGAAAGGGACTTAAATTACAATTTTACACATATACACAGTAACATTACCCTTATTTAAATTATTACTAAATTATCACTTGTAAACGTAAGTGGTAATGCATTTCTACCCCCTTAATCTCCAACAAAAAAATATTATCATATTAAATGTACGCTAGACTCTAGACATTCACTGAAGCAAAAAATGTTCTTACTGCTTATGACAACATAGATAACCTTAAAAATAAGAACTGAGTATAAATGATGACAACATTTTCATCCAGAAAGAAGCCATTCATCTCAAGATGTGGTTAACTCTGTAGCTATACTGGTGACAGTTTAGATGTCTCTATTTTTAACTAACTACAGAAGGATTCAAGTATAGTGCATTATTTTCTATCTACTAGTACCTGTGCCCTTTCCAAATTAATTTCTATATACTCAGATACGATGAACAACCCTATTGTTCTCAAACTCTGTCTCTTAATATCTTTTGTATTGGTGTCATGCACTGCTAAAAAAAATCTGTAAAGCTTTGAAAACAGGAGAGTCTGGATTAAGAAATGGAGTGAAATAAAATAGAACAAAGAACAGAGCTCTCCTACTATCCCCCTGTTGTTTAAGGCTCTACACATACTACATATGTGTGCATATATATATGCACAGCTACATATATAGATATACATATATATATACACAAATACACATAAATACATATGGTTAGTTTCAAGCAAGGCTGTAATGCTAGAATTAAAAGAAAGCTAAAGAAATATTCACAAAAGATTAATTTCACTGCAGTATAGTGTGCCTATTACGGGGTTTAGGCCACAATTTAGTTTAGTCAAAAGGATAAGAAAGTGTGGATGTCAGTATGCTTTCTGAAGAGCAATTCAGCTTCCTTGTTACTGGTCATTCCACACACTCTTGTGAGAGGTCATGACTATGTTATTTTAAAAACATGAAAGGGAGACTTTTTGGCTTAACAGAACCAATCAGCTTCTGAATAGCCCAGGAAATGAGCAAACCAAGTTTCTTTTATTGTAAAAGTTGCAATTAATTTTTTCATTTAGGATATATATGATTTTTTGTAGGATTAAAATTGTATTGATAGTACAGATAGATCAACATAGTAGCGTGACAAGAAAAAGTAAATGGAAAAATATATCTATCCTTCCTGTTAATCAGTACTTCACTTGATGGTGTGGCAGGTGCACCCACCCAATGCAATTGTGGCTCCCTGGCTGTTGAACCTCTCCTGTGCCCTTGTTCTCAGGGATTTAGGGTAGTTGGGGTCTTTGGCCTACAGGGCTGGTACTGACCACAGGTCAGATTGGGCTCAGGTACCAATGGAGTCCCTGGGGGAGCCATTTGGAGCTCGTCCCAACTGGAACAGTGTGCTGCAGGTAAGGGCTCTCCCCTTGGGTTGGGACACCACCCATGGAGACTCCTCGGGGTTCCTATGAGTTGGGACACTGCCCTGAGATGTTCCTCGAGGTTGAGAGTCCTCACCTTTTATTAGCTGAGTGATTGAGCATTTTGGGTTGTCGTTAAACCCCTGGTTGGTGTTTTGGGTTGTTAAACCCCAGAAGCTTGTGTGGTGATAGTTTGTTCTCCTCTCATGGACATTTGGACCTGTTGTTTGTATGTTTGCGGAATGTTGATTAATTGTGTATAAAAATAAAGTTTGCTTTTTTTTTTATAGTTATGTGGTTTGGGAGTTTCCGCAACAGATGGGATGAGGGACAAGAATAAGCAACAGTGAGGAAAACGAATCAAAGGACTGTGATAAAAGACAGGACATCTAGGTGAATTTTATTATAGAGAACACTACCTGCAAAACTTATGCATAAACTGTAAAACATTTCCCACAGGATTATAGATTTAAGGGTTTATTCCCTTTTATGATACTTTTCCCACAACTGACTATTTGTACGTCTTTTTATTCTCAAACCATGTCTTTCCATTAAAGACACCAAGAAGAACCAATGGCACATGCTGTTCAATATTTAAAGACTGACAAATATTCAGAAAATCTAATCTGTGAGAGAGTGCATCACCATGCTTCCACTTCTCTTTTCTTACTTCATTTAGTAACTATTGGCAAAAAGCAAAAAAGGTGTAACTAACATCAAACTATAGTTCAAATAGTGGATATTTTTGGAGTGCTCATAGTGAAGAAATTTCAAGATGTAAAAATCATTATTGTTTTTATATTAATAAATAACTTTCTAGCACAAAGTTAAGGATAGAAGTTAGATTTTCTCGTCTTTTGTTGTTTGGGTTTGGGTTTTTTTTTTGGGGGGGGGAGGAGTGGCAGCAAATACTGGGTTTAAGACTGGATTTTTTTTTCTCTCCCACTTTTCTTTAACTGGTTCTGCCACAGTATTTTATAGTGGTAGTTATTCTTATAAAAGTAAAATGAAAGTGGTGAACAGAATGTATAATGTTGACAGGCAGACAAGCCTAACATAAATATTCTGCTGTAGAAGTGAAATTGTATTATTTCCAGTTGGTAAGCAATCATCTTATTCAATACATTCTAAATAGGACCGAAAAAAGTTATCTTCTCTCAAGAGCACCTGATGTACAGTAAACTTCCCAAACTTCCCTAACACCTACAGCAAAAATGTTTATTCAGAAATGACAGAGAAGTTATGTAACCTTTAGAAGAGGCATATTAAAAACATTATGACTCCATAACATGCATTATTCAAAAAAAAAAAAAAGAAATCAGAAAAATCCAACCCTCCAAAAGGCAAAAAAGCCCTGTCCACTGTGCAGCTGAAATAAATTTAATTTACATGACTAGTGAAATTGTTAAAATATCAGTTTTTCTTATCAAAAGTATGCACTGCAGGTCAAAACATTTCCAGAAATTATTTTTAGAATCTAGAATGTCATGTGTCGAACTTGGGAATGCTGCATATGTGTTGATAGAATAATATGACCAAAAAAATCTAAGACAATGATCAGATTATTCTATCTATCTTTTTTTCTTTTAATTTCATATATGCATATGCAGGTGGGGAGGTAATGCCACCTTTGAGGGTTAAGAGATTGAATATAATCTTCTGTACGGATACAATTCTATCACCACATTCCTTTGGTTTTAGTTTGTTTTCTTTTTTTTTTTTTAAAATGATTCATACATTTCAATGCATGAACACAGAAACAAGAATTTCAAGGGAAAGTACTCAGTTATAAGGAATTTTGTGCTTACAAAAATTTATCAGCCTGCTTGACTTCCCTATTACACTAGGTCTGCCTTGACACGCTTTTAGTCCATCCTCTGGTAGCTTCATGTTTATGATGCTCTGTTTATGCAACTCCCAGCATGAGCCTAGACTTAATCACCTGTTTGACTCCATCTTCATGGTTGTTTTGCCTCAGGGTGCAAAGTGCTAAAGTTTAGGCTTGACCCTTCTGTGTGGGAACAGTAAGGAATATTTCATGTTCAGGTTGTCTGTTTCTAGATCTTTAGGAAAAAGTGATAGGCTAGTACCAGCAGATGTGAAGGCTTTTAAACACAAGCCAGTTTCTAAAGCTGCTGTCCAAACGTAGTTCACCTCATAAATAACATATTGATCTCAATAAGAATGTTTTTGGAGTCAGTAAAAAATCCCACATGCAGATAAAACATCCAAATCTGGCTCTTCAGGGAAATGTTCCACCACAAAGTACCAGTCTTAAACATGAAAATTACTTTAGAGTTCACTTCACAGGATAATACCACAAAAAAAACTGTGACATTAGCAGATCTGAAAGGAAAATGCAAATCACACTCAGGTACACAAACACCCACCAACAGATAGATAAATTTGGAATGTATTTGATTGTCTAGAGCTCAGGAGTAAAGCAAAACTCAGACTAAGGGACTCGAGGGTAGCTGTTGGGGTGAAGAAACAGATTGCAACCAAAACTTGTGATCAGTGGTGTTAGCAGGACTGCCTACTAAACATTTTAAATGTTTCTCATAAGATCTTATTACAATCAATTACAATTTTGCTAAGGCTAGAACCATTAACACAACCATTTCCTATTCTAGACATGTCCTTTTATTTAGTGTTGCAAAACATATATCATTAGTATATAAATAGTATGTACTAATAGTAATATTATTATTTAAACACAATTCAAATGGAATGTATTCAAGTACTGAAAAAAATGAAATGACCAGAAGGAAAAAAAACCCGAACCCACAATGTTTTTTGACTGTACCTATAAATTTCATCCATTTTAGAATCACATTGAAAAAAGGCAGGTTATTCACACATGTTGAGTAGAGTCTTACCAGTTAGGAAATCTCATTAAAGATGAATTGTGGATTAAGAAAGCCTCATTGCCTGCTGAACAGCAGGACTTTCCTTGCAGATCCCAAGTCCAGCAGTGGGCATATCAGGCACCTCTTTCAATCTGTATTTTCCCTGCTGGCTTGAGGTTCAATAAGGAAGAAGACTCTGAAACAAAATGCAAAAGCAAGTTTTGTTAGAAGATTAGGCATTGAAAACCCATGCCTAGACATGGAGAACAAAGGGAGAGACTGGTTGAAAAAGCAGCAGTAGGAGCACAGTGGAGGAACCCTCAGAATGAGGTGGGGGCTGAGTCTATCATGAAACTAAAGACAGCTTCTTATTGCATGTGTATAAAGGAGACAAATTTATATTGCTCTAACAATCTTAATTCTATCACTTCCTAACTCTGAGACTTTGCCTCTGCTTGACTTTTTTTGGTCTTATTGTTAAGAGTCTGGGATAAACTAAATTGATATCTTTGCACATGATTGCAATCTCCTTTGACTGCAGAGACAGAAACCGTTTGTTTAGGGCTGAAGACACTGAGTTATCTGCTGCTAACTGAACTTTCAGGAGGCTGTGGAAATTGTCACCGATGCCAGGCAAGCACAGAGTAACAGCAAGCTGCTGAACTTTCTGACAAGAACTACAATGAAATGACTGCACATCAATGAGTTTATAACAGTGAAATGAGCCACAACAGGCAACTTTTTTTCAGGAAGGAAAACTACCTTTTATTTATGAATATCTAAAGTGACACTATTTGAAAACACATCCTGTGTTTTTAGTATGGAAATTGTATTGATAACAAATTTCTTTTTTCTGACATCTTGATTTCCTTTAAAAACTGGTAGTTCTTTGGCAGTTCTTTTTTTTTTTTTTATGCCATAGTATTTCAGATAAACAAATAATTCATTTCAAGGCATTTTTCTGAAATTTGACAGCTCTTCCAGTTTTCATTTCTTTGACATTTTTTAAAATAGTAACCCAGTAATGAGGGACTACAAAACAAGGCAGATCTGACAAAGTACACATGGTGTTTGAACCTTCTGTAAAAGCCATTTTGAAATACTATATTGCTGCTGCTGTTGATTTTGAAGCATTATATAAATTTATCTGCAAAGGCAAATCTACTCCATCTGACTTAAGCAACCATATCTACTAGACTACGTACATGAATTTTTTGCTTTTTCTTGTCCTTTACTTCCTCACATGCTCCACACTTTAGAAAGAGATATGAATATAGTATATATTGAAACAGAAATTACATTTTTTTCTTAATTTGAAAATGAAATATATAAGGTATAAGTTTTTAAATTACTTTTTTTCTTTTTCTTTTAAAAAGGCATTTTAGCTGTAAGAAAGGTCATGTGATGACCTTGAGCATTTTTTTAAAAAATATATCTGATTCTGCACCTAATTCCCCATTTCCTATGAAGGAACATGTGAGAGGCTTTCAGTTAACATTATCCTTGTCTTGGTGTCTTGTCCATGGCAATCACAAGCCATTTTTCAGGCATTGCACCTTATGAATTGGACGTCAATTGCTTTGATGAGGTATGTGTTGCCAAACTGTGACCAGTATTTTATCTAACCTTGTAGCTTGAGCCCAGAGGGCAACTAAGCACCATCCAGCCACTCACTCACCCCTTCCCCTCAGCAATGTAAGGGAGAAAATAAAGTAAAAGGCTCAGTAGTCGAAATAAGGACAGAGAGGGGTGGCTCACACATTATGGTCATGGGCAGAAGACAGACTTGTTTGGGGAAGGCAAAAGAACATCAATTTAATTCAGACACTCACAATAGCAACACTTAACAGACAGAGTAGGACAGTGAGAAGCATTACCACACCTTAAAGACACCTTCCCCTCATCCTTCTGTTCTTCCCAGGCTCTGTTTTGTTCCCAATCTCTCTACCACCCCCTTGTCGCTCCAGCAGTGCAGGGACAGAGAACGGGGGGGTGCAGTCAGTCCCACCGCTCCTTCCTCCTCAGGTTGGGGGGAAGTCCTCACATTCTTCCTCTCCTCTCTCATGGTTCCCCTCTCGCAGGAGGCAGTCCTCCACAAACTTTCTCCAACTTGAGTCCCTCCCATGGGCAGCAGGGTTTCCCTCCCTGCTCTGGCGTGGGACATCAACTTTCTCCAACTGGAGTCCATCCCACAGGCTACAGCCCTTCCCGAGCTGCTCCGGCGTGGGACACACTTGCATGCTGCAATCCTCCCAGTGCTGAACTACAACAGTGGGGTCTACCTTTTCCCACATGGTCCCAGCCTCCTTTGGGCATAATCACTTGAGTCAATGTGGGGTCCTCCATGGACTGCAGGTCAGCATCTGCTCCACAGCGGGCCTCCATGGGTGGCAGGGCGGGCGCCCCTGTTGTCTCACAACAGGATACAGAGGGGTCTCTGCTCCAGCACACCTCCCCCACTTTCCTCCTCCTTTCTTCCACTGACCTTGGTGTTTGCGCAGGTGTCCATCTCATAACTCCTCAACTCCGATTCCTTCTCCCAGGTTCCCCTTCTTAAAGACCTTATCACAGAGATGCAGCCACCATTACTAATTGGCTTGGCCTTGGTGAAGAGGTGAGTCTGACTTGAAGCCAGGGATCTTTGAGAAGCTTCTCACAGGGGCTGCCTTTGTAGCTCCCTCCCCCACTACCAAAAACTCTGCTACACAAATCCAGCACAAACTTCAAAGTACAGAAAGTGTCTTGATCACACTTGGTATATAGACCTCGGATTCAGTTAAGATGAGCTTCAGTCTTTCTTGAAATCTACAGAAAATGTATAAAGGCAGGCAAAGAATAAACCCATTTATAGATAAAGAATGTGAGGTAAAAATGGGGGAAAGGTTCCAGGAAAATGAAGGAAAACTGCTTTCCAAATGAGAAATCATTGGTAAAACAACTGTGGGAACTTATAACCAAGATCTTGCAAGGAAGCTGGAGCCACTGTAGTGCTGTTAAAGCATCATGAGATAGACACTTCATTTTATCCTAATATGACACACATTCCTGAGGTCCCTAAAGAAATAATTTGGTCCTTTAACGCTTTTTCTCTATAACAATTGAAAACAGGGTATTAAACATAAAAACATTAACAAGACTTCTTCTTTTTAACTAGGGATCATTTTAGCCTCCCAAATGTCTTGTTGCCTTCCATCCAATGAAGATAAATAAACCCAGCCATGCTCTGTGCTGTATTTGCTTGTCTCACTCTAAAAATGAAAGAAAATAAAAATGTGCCCATCAAACCAAAAACCTTTTACCATTTTGATTTTTTTCAAGAGTTAAAGCTCTATTACAAAAATATTTAGTTTAGGACTTCTTTCACAGACAATATTTAAAGAGATTCTCGGTATTTCCATACTCTGCTCTGAGATATCCTTATGGCTATTCCTTGTTTTCAAGCTTCTGGACTCATGACTGCCTGATCCTCAAAGTTATCTGACTGACTGGAAGGCAAATGCTGTATTTCCCTTGAATGCTGATTTACCCTTTCATGAGAGACACAGATATTCACAGTCCTTTAAGTTGCATTGGTTGTGCTAGTGTCAGACACATAAAAAGATACAACAGAACACCAATATTTTATTAAATATCATGGTACACATTGCACCCTTTTCAGGGAAACAAGATCTGTTCTATGCCAGGAAAGAGACAATTTTGGCATCTTTTTTAGAACATTAGTTGGTTTCTATGAAGGTTTTCATCTGTCTGTTCATTTACATACCCTGTAGTGAACTTAATTTTCTTTCATTGTGTTTACTTGAACAAATGGTGAAAGAATTGTAGAGATGTGGAAGAAACAAAAGAAAGGGACTCTTACACAAAGGGATCAAATGTATCTGCTCTCCAATAGATTTCAGCGCTATTTAGGCTATCTATTTGGGTAACTTTTGTTACTTTTTTTCTTTTTTTTTTTTTTTTTTTTTTTTTTTTTTTTTCTCCAGAAACATCACTCTACTCTTTCCTTGTCACTGTTCGGACATCTAGGAAAAAAAAAAGAAAAAAAAAAAAAAAAAAAAAGACAGGAATTCAAACCCACACTATTTCTACCTGGGAAACAAGTTGACTGCATCCTATGCTTGATCCTACGTGAGTGCACAGTATGTGTTCAATAGCCACTTTCTGGATGGCTTTTCCAATGCTTTCTTGCAGAATTTTTGTTAAAAGAAACAGGTGGGAGGCAACAAGAAAACCTTCTGTGGCAAGAATATGTTGGTTTCAGCACCCTGTCCTCTGCAAAAGACATTCTGCAAACTCCATTATGTCTCTCTGTACTTCACACTGGGACGTTAAATCTTTCAGAGAACTGATATTTATCTCCTCTGTAACCATTAAATGAAAGCACTTTATACAGTTTTGCATTTGTTGTAGCTGACGTGACAAACCAAGTGTAAACTGGTACACAACTCTTAGATTTTCAATACTTTTAAAGAAATGCATAATTTCATTCTAGAAGAAGAGAGATAGTGTGACAGCAACATCGAAGGTAGCAATCCCTTTGTTGAATAAGAAGTCCTATTTCATATGTTTACAAGAGCCAATAATGGAACACCAACACAAAGAAAAATGTCCAATGTTACCTTTAAGTCAGCAGGTGTGAGCTATCCATATTAAAAGGTTTCTTCCTTTATTCCTGCCAAGAACCTGAAGTAATTTAATTATTACATTAACCAGCATCAATAAATCATCCCACACTTCAGTAGATAGAAATTATTCCATTATGTTGCCTGTTGTGATTTCTTATAACAATGAATTCAAAATTTTAATTCCAAAACTTCACAATTTCTTCTTAGGCACAGACTGTTTTAATAAACAGAATAGGGAACAAAGACATTTGCTAATATATCTGTGATAAATGTCTATCAAAGAAACAATGGGAGGCTAAATGGAACTGAGGTCAACTTCTTTAAAGCTGCTATTGAATATTCACAGCAAATGTCTTGCAGCATGTACCTCACTCTCAGAAGCATAACAATAAAGTTCTCCCATTGTCACTCCTGCAACAAATAATTTTTGGGATATGGAACTAGCTGAGGAACAGTAGTTTAACTTTTTAAATAATTACACTTTTTAGTAGTTTAAGATAAAGGGGCACTGTTGAAAGATGCTCCTTACCATTGTTTTAAGTAAATGAAAAACTGAAGTAAATCTCAGATCTGAATGGGCTTTCTTTTTGGCAGCTTCTGTTCAGCTGTGGAAGTAGTAGTTTACAGACTTCAGATAGCCACCAAATATACCAAATATAGCTAGAAAAGAAACATAGAAGGAGACCAACTATGCCTCTGTAGTGAATCATTTCATATGAGGAGAAACTAAACATTGGGGTTCCTCTTTCTGGAAATAAATGAACTGAGAAGGAATATGATATAGATCTGTAAAATCACAGTTGGCTCAGGAATTACCTGTGATATCATAACTCATTATTACTCATAATATGAGAAGTTGGAAGCACACCATGACCCTCTTATCAGGTTTAAGGCACATATTTAATGCCAAAAGGATGTATATTTTCATATGGCTTGTACTTTGGAACTCAGTACCATGGAATTTTTTAGAGGGAAAGCATTAAAAAGGATTCAAAGATAGAGGCTGGAAAAATTAAATTTAAAGTTATTTATGCTTTTAAACACAGTGATCCAGAAATGTTCTTTGATTCAGGGGTCTTCATATTGATGCATCATAGAAACTAGAAATACGTTACATTGGGGAAGGACTGAATATTAAACTTCCCTCCATACATCTGCTTCTCATCACTGTTGAAAATCTGCTGTTATAGGTAGACGTTTGGTTTCATTGATCAGGAAGGGTAAAACATATCCATATTTAGTGTCATGCAACAAGAAGTTGAAAACTCCATGCTATTTTCCTAGAATAGGAATGTGTTTTAAGATGGGTAGGAATTTTTTCTTAACAGGAACCTAGAGCATTTTCAGCTTCCCTTTTGACAGGAGGGAGTAAAACAAGTTTAACAAAAAAGATTTTGCTCTTTATTAGGCAGCCTGTATTCTTAATCCTTACCTTACCTAAAAATGAGACAGCAGCTGCACCAGAGAAATTTTGTTTCTTAAGCCCTCCAAGTCAATTTTTAGTTCCTCAAGAAGACATTCCTATAGCTAATTTCTGTTCCAAGAACACAAAAACCACTGCAAATTTATTCTTACACCTCTTTTCATGTTGTAAGCACTTGAGGAAGGGCAGTAATGATACATGAATTTGAAACTGCTTTTCATATCAGTTCTGTGTTTTTCTTTGCCTGATGATAGAATTTCATTATATTACAATATAGCTTTAGTGCTGGTACAACATGTTCCTGCTGTAATTTTCTTGTTTCAGTTTTGCTTATTCTTTTAAGAGTGTAAAAGAAGCAATTTTTAAGTCTAGACAGTGTAAGCCAACTACATGGTGAAGGAAAAGACTTTCAGCCATCAGGAAGAGTATATCTGACTGATTAGACTTATTGAGAGATGAGCTAGAGAGTGAAAATAGTGTTGTTGCCTGGTGCAAAACAGCTACATCAGAAAAATTATGGAGAACAAAAAACCTGACATTTTTCAAGCAACCTGCAACACTAATAAAATGTGCCTCATCACACTGCATTATTATGAACATCTTCTTGTAGTCATGGAACAAAACAAAATCTGTACAAAAATGTCTCAGCATGGGATGATTAAAACTTTTGACGGTCTGGAATTTTTTATCAACTAAGAGCGTTAGGACTATTGGGACTTCAGCAGAATCATAATTCCAAGTCAAACAAGGGGAGTCCAAAATAGCAGCATACAAGGTTGTGTAAGCACCTGTAACATGGGACTAAGAGGCCCTCCGGTGTTGTATGTGTGATCAGTAGACAGGCTGTGAGCACCATGACTGCACTGGCAAAATAGGGACTGATCACATCTTTCATCAGAATACTCCTTACCACTTCCCTGATATTTTTTAGGGTATATATTTATAGTTTTATATTTTAGATGAAATACTCAACGAAACTGAGTATTCAACTTATATACAAGTCATTTGTACTGCTATTTCATTATCAGGAGTTTGTTCAATGGCCTCAGAATTCCACAGTCATTTGCACATTTGCTGAAAAATTGATTAGCACCTAATTTTGGAGGCACAACCAGCTCTCAAAACCACATTGGTTTGTCAGATTCAGAGGGCTGATTTGACTCATTTTAATATCATACATATTGCTAATTACCTTACTAGAGTACACAACTGGGACAAAAACTGAATTAAGCGACTATTTTCAAGTTGTATCTCCGGTCCTTACACATAGTCAGAGCCTTTTTGCAAGATATCATCTAATCAATGATGGAATCAAAGATTCAGGGGAGCTCAATTCTGTAAAAGTGTCAAAAGAAATAAGTCTTAAAGCGTTGGGTAAAAAACTTAATTCCATGAAAGCCAATAAGAAAACAACCCTCCAGATTTTGTATTCCCTAATATTATTTAAAAGATTATGCTACTCAAAACAGAGAACTGAAATTTTACAAACCAAATATGTACATTTTCATGTTTCTAATATGTAATTATGTCTTTCTTCATAAGTGCACTCCCATTTGACCCTTTATATTAGTTAAAGCTAAACCCCAGTAGCAGAACAGCATGTATTTTCAAAAGCCTATACTCCAAAGTGAGTAGATGATGAGATTGTAAAACAAAATGCAATAATAGTTATCAGCTCATCCCTCACATTGAGTGTATTAAAATAAGACTGCTCATGAGCACTGTTTTTGTTTTTTTCCCAGCTGCCAAAATAAAAGTAAATCTCAGAGTCAACATAGTTAGCTATCACCACAAAACCTGAGCACTTCTGGTATGACTGTATGTATCTTACTTAGTACATGTCTCACGCTGACATATTTGTTTTCAGCAATAACCAGATTCCTTTTGAGTTCATAATTTTCTTTACTTGATAAGCACAAAGATAGCTCCACGTAAGGCTTAATTTGAAATACAGTCACGAATATCATATTTTTATTTTAATTTTGTCTTTGCTGCATGTAAAAATTCTGTTATGTCAAAGATACTGACAAAGTTACCATCAGATAACTTATCTTTACCTCTTTTTTCCCAGAGGACAGGCTGGGTGTGGATTCTGCATTTTCTGTACAAAGTCCAGCTTCTGCATATCCACTGCAAATCTCCAGTTATAATGTTTTGGCAAGAGAAAACCTGAAAACAAACCAGATGAATTAGTGGCAAGGCCACAGAGTGCATGCACTGGAGAGAAGCCAAGTTACCACAAGGGACCAGACTGTTTCCTCTAACCCATTTTTATAGTTTTCATCATTTAAAAAAGAAGCAAATTCCACAAGATAATCTGCTGCAGAAGTTATTTATATGTGAAGATTTACGCAGGAAAAACAACCCGGCACCCTGTAATAAGAAGAGGTTAATTCAAAATCAGTATTGCTGTTAAAGAAAATGCAGCACCCTGCATCAACATCCTCTATGAGGCAAAAATTGATAAAGTGCATGAAAGTACATTATTAGAGGTAAATACAAAGTCTGAGATTTCAACAAGGACTAAACAAATGAAGTTTACAATGAGAGGCAGATGGACAGGAAGCTGAAAATAGTTATGAAGAACCTTGTTGGAAAAAACCCCACCAACACAAAATTGTTACAGTGTCATTACAAATTAATTGGAGAACTACAGACTTTTTTTTTCAACTGCCCAGGCTTCTCTTATCAATCATGTCAATTACTGTATTTATGAAGTGACTCTAACATGCATGATGATTAAGCTTGATCAGAGCTGCCCCAAGTCACTAAAATCACCCAAAAGAAAAGTTTTATTTAACAGACGTTGATTGTATTTCTTTCCTGTACACTCAGGAAGGAGAGCATCAGCTCAAACACCAGTTTAGGAGGAGAGAAGGAAAACTGTTGAAAGGAGGCAGTATTTAACTCATAAATAGTTAAACCTGTAGTTTGACTAACATCACTCTAACAAAAAATTCATCTGTCTGCCATCAACTTCCAGTTTTGGATTACTGTCATGTGACAATTGGTAGAATTGACATGAAAACAAATGAAATTGATATTTTACCCCAAAGATAAATTTAATAGGGATGATTTTAGGTGTTACATAATATTTGCTCAGTGTTCAAACTGTGTCATTTGGATTTTAAAATTGCACATATACACTTAGTTCTGTCCTAATCTTCTGTCCATTTTTAATGATATTTAGTTCACTTTAGTAATGCTTTCCTGTGCAAGATGTATTACTTGGGAAGCACAGCATATGCGTGAAAAAAGAACTGTAACAATAAGATGTGCATCTACGTTAAATCATGAGTCCAAAAATATCAAATATTAAAGTAGTTTAATATACTAAGGGGAAAGGGACATTTCAATTGTGTATGAAAGGTTAGAATAAACTTCATGGCTCATGTGAACAATACATTAAAAGCAGATTATAAGATGTTATTACCAGGTTGTTCTTTTGTAGAAGAAAGATCAAGTGCTGTAAGTCCTCAACCACAGACACCCTGGTTCATCCTTGTTAACTTAAGGCACTTAACTGAAACACCTTGTTAAGAATGCACTTGTCTGTGGCTTCTTTTATGATCAATGGTGAGACCCCAACACTTCCAGAGTGAAATTTTGTCCAATTAAAGATCTGAATCATTCTCTGAAGGTTCCTTTTCATTGACAAGGGTGTCTGAGTTTCTAACTTAGATGCCTCAATTAAGTGCTTAAATTTGAGTAGGATGTATCTAGGAAGTAAAAGATCACAGAAAACATTTCTACCGTGTTCCATTTAGCAAGTGCAAGAAATTATTTTGTTCATATTGCTGGTGCTCCTAGGAAGACATAAGCTTTATCTTCCTTCAAAGATGTTTGCAGGGACATTTGTCAACTCTCTTATGGTGGGCTGACCTTGGCTATCACCTACCTAGACTCTTTCTCACCTTTCCCAAACAGGGCAGGGGGAGAAAATAACATGAAAAGGCTCATGGGTTAAGGTAAAGATAGGAAGATTTCTTTACCATATACTGTCACAAGAAAACCAGACTTGACTTGGGGAAAATGAACCATTTTGTTGCCAATTAAAATATATGTAGGTGGTCAGAAATAGACAAGAAAATTAATCCACCCTCTTTTTCCCAGGCTCAACTTCATTCCTTCATTCCCAATTCCCCTCCCTCCCCCAACCCTGCACAGCATTGCAGAGACAATGGGGATTTGAGGGCTGCAGTCAATACACGACAGCTCCTCTCTGCCCCCCTTTCCTCTTCACCCTTTTTCTCTCTTCCAGTGTGAGCTATCCACATGCTGCAAGTTCCTTCAGACATGCCTGCCTGCATCAGCATGGGGTCCTTCATGGGCTGCAGCGTGGATATCTGTTCCATCATGGTGCACCTCCTCCTTCTCCTCAGACCTTGGTGTTCCCACTGCTGTTTCTCACATGTTTTGTTCCCCCTTCCTCTGTCTGTGCAGAATTTTCTGCCCTTTCCTTGGGACATTTTTCCCGAGGTGCCCGCCAAGGGCTGAGGGTCTCAGCCGTGTCCTGCAGTGAGGCTGCTGGAGCTGGCTGGAACCATCTGTGCCTAGTATGGGGCTGCTCTGGCCTCTCTTCATGGAGGCCATTCCTACAGCACCCCATTTTTCCCAAGCAGACACAAATGTATTTTGTGAGTCATGATGAGTTTGTAGTTAAAACCTTTGTATTATTCTAGAAAGGAAATTAATGAGTCAGGTGTAAGACTTTTCTTACTAATTTTCTCACTGATAGTTCAGTTTATTGTAAAGGTAAGACTTGTCATTCTTGCCAGTGGGACTTTTTAGTTCTGGAGGAAATAACTATCTGATTTCCCCAAAGGACAGATCTCAGAATGTAGCACGGAGCTGAGGTTATTCTCTATGCTGTTAAACAGGCAATTGCTTTCATCCTGTGCTTCCAGAACAGATGAGCCTGTTTCTTTCAAAAGGCAGCTCAAATACTCCAGGGATCCAGTCAGATGCGGATACAGAACTACAACTCCACCATGTTGCACGTATGGGTGATTTGCCTACAGAAATACTACGTTTAATCTGGAGTGTGTCTCATGTCTAGGCAAGGAAATGCTGTATAGTCTTTTGCATCTCTAGATATAAAGTGCAAGTAAGTTGACTGAAAACTGTTTTAGGAAATGACCTGAAATATGTCAGTTAATTCAGTTTATACAAGGGAAAAACAGAACAGGTAAGTTCTTCTCCAAGATAAAGTACACAGCTATACAGGTAAAGTGTGAGCCAATAAGTACCTAGTCCACAAATACCACAACTGATTTTGCTTTTTTTTGAACATTTGGGCAGAGGTTTGGAAACAAGTTCCTTGCCTCTCCCTCCTGTTAAAAAAATAAATCTGTCCATCCTTTCTGCTGGTTCCCCAAACACCTGCTGGTCTCAAGTCTCCTGGAAGAATCTAAAACTCAATGCCTTTCTTGTTGCTGACCTGGACAAAGTCTAGGTTCTTTATCTAGTGCCTTTCATAGATTGTATGGTCCTTCTGAAGTTTCATAAGGCTCATTTCATCATACTAGAAAACATCTCTGAAGATGTCTGACATATACTCTGAAACTCAGACCAAGTTTAAAAGTGATTATGAAAAACCTTACACTCTTAAACTATAGCACTGCCAGTACCGACAAGAGGAAGTTACTTTTCTTCGCATTTGTGTCCTAGCTCAGTGAGGGCTGTGTTCCAAAAGAGTGAGATGAGACTAATTTCAAAAACATTGATAGTTTAATTTATGCCTAGTTGTTACATATAATGTAATTAATGTAGCATAATCAAAGACATAGTTATAGGAAAGAGCCAGTTCTGGTTTTACATGCAGAGTTTTTTGTGATTCTTACCTTACTATAAAGAGATTCGAGGAATTAATGCAGATGCATGGATTTCATAGAATTAGTAAACATCCTTCTTAGATGTTTCGCTACAGTAACGAATAAGCCTTTTTTACAAGAGCTAGCTGCTATCAAGTGCCTCAGCTTAAAAACTTGTCTGGTGAGATCCTGTTTTTAATTGTGGAAGTATGTGGTATATTCTTAAGATTTGGAAATGATAGATGCAATGGGAAAATACATACCAGGTAAACATGACTATATGATTAAGTAAACTGCAGGTCTGGTGCTCTGACTGACATCTTCTTCAGAGCAGTCCTTGATTCTGTTAGTTTTTACCAGATGCAGTGAGAGTTGCTAGGAACTTGCCACTCTGAAAACACTGTTCAGCTCTGACTTTAGAGGTCATAGATGAGATGATGAGAATAATGAAGACTTTCTGCCTAGCTAGTCCGCTGATTCTTTGACTATCAATGTCGGCTACACTGGCACTAAGTTCTTGACAAAATGGTCTGATTTCACTCTTCTATGAAAGTTTATGTTAAACGTTGGTTTCTCATAGCACTTCTGTGCTATAGCTCTTTTGTGTGATTTTTCAGCAGCCAGCAGAAATCATTAGGTACATAGTTAATGGTGGTCCGAAGGAGCTTTCTTCACACATATTCAATCCAACTAACAAGTCTTTGAAACACCAGATACTGGGATAGAAAACAGATAGAACTATCTGGCATGCACTTCACAAACCTGTGTACCACTGAAGAGAGAAAAACGCACATGCTAGAGCTTACTCCAAGGCTTATCTTCTGCCAGCTGGGCTTGTAAACAGGTTACAAACTTCTTGAATAAATAGTATTGAGAAGATCTGTGGACCAAATGTTCAAATAACCTGAAGCTCAGTTTGACCAATGAACAAAGATAAGTTCTGAAGCTCTGCTCTCAGATGAAAGATGATATGAAACAATTTTCCTGTGGCTTTAGCTACCTGTGAGTCTAGAATGAACTTCTATTAATTCCACTGACTGAGATGGAGTAAGATCAGGTTTACTGATGTTGTTCCTTAGAAAACAGCTGAGGAAACCAGTTGGCGACTGACTGCATCACCCAAAAACTGTGACAACTTTTTCTGAATTAATCAGACACTAATCAGCTGTTGAAATAAGACTGTATATAACCTGATTTTGTGGGTATCCTCAATGAATTAAAACTATTTTCTGAGGTCTTATTTATTGTTTCCTTACTCCTTACTAATCTTCTGAAATAAGATGTAGTCTACAAACATCGATTCCATGACAGCAAGAATCTTGCTAGATTATTTCTTAATGTTAGTTACCTAAGAAA